CTAGTATGTATTTTTTGTAACTGCAAGTTTTATATTATAATTGTATAGCGAAAAATATATTACATGCTATAATACAATTGTAATATGAAACTTGCAGCTACAAATATACGTAAAGTAGAGCCATCGTGAGTACTTGTTCAAACCAGGATTTTTACTGCAGGGTTCAATGGTATATAAGATAACAACGATCAAGTCAGATGAACGTAATTGGTTGGATTATAGAGATATATCAAGTATATCGATATACAAACTTTAAACTCATGCATAATCTTATTACTATTTTAGCGATATGCATTAAAAATGTATTATCAGGTTTGTAGTTAAAAGGAGATAAATAGCAGTAAATAATTTCTTTTCCCAAGCAGTAACAAAAAGGAAAATTAGTAACAAAAAGAAATTACATACATACGTACGAACATACTTTGCTGTTCTGTGATGAGTGTGGATCACGAAGGTGTTAGTGCAAATAAATAAAAGTATTATTAGTAAAATATTGAGAAGAAGCGAAACTAATAGAAATAAAGAAGCATAGTATTTATTATCTGCATTGTGGATATTGGTAAAAATCAAGAATTTTTTTTTAATTTGGCAAAACGAATTCATTTCTTGCCGAATCTATTGGGCGTAAGTCCAATTGTTTTTAACTTATACAATAGTATGTTAATCTTTTAGTTAAATTTTTATAATCTGGTTTTGACAATAACGATAATACCTGATTAGTAAAATATGTCATTAGGTCATTAGGTTTGAACAATATAGTGCATAAAAGAATTTTTAAGCAACCGCAATTTTTTTTCATTCAAACAATATGATTTCTATATTTATGCTAAATGTAAGTAAAAAAAAAAAAAAAACTGTGCATAAAAGACTTTCTAAGCAACCGCAATTGTTTTTCGTTCAAACAATATAATTTCTATATTTATGCCGAATGTAAGCAAAAAAAAAAAACTATGAATAATTTTTTTGGACAATATAATGTTTCAATAAAAAGACTTGCCTGATAATCAATTTTCTTAATTCTTAAAATCCTTTATCTCTTGGTTCAGGTTAACAAAGGTGCTAAATATATTATACCTGAGTGTATAATGAGTATGGAGTCGGAAGGCAATCAATTTTCTGATCTTTTTGACGCTACCACATTAGGGCAATACGATTATAGAGATGTAAAAGTTTTTATTAGAAAAGAAAGTCTGAAGGCTGGTGAGAAGTAAACAATGGGTAAACGGAGATTTGAAAATGTTAGAAGTTTTGGGTTTTATGTAGATTAAATTCTGCTTTGTTCCTGTTATAAACTTAGATACATCAGATTCAACACAAAATGAACTAGGTGTTGAGATAGATGCTTTTAATATTTTAATGAGAAATTCAAGAGAGCCTTTACTTCCTCAACGCTGTACTGAACACAATAACTGTAACAGACTTTACAATGAAATTATTGAGCTTTTTCAAGCTTAAAATGTTGGCTGGACAAATGGTTTACATAAAACTATTGGAAAAATATTTATAAATCGTCTTACACATGCTTTTTGGTATATCGACCCACATCTTTCAACACTATGTGCACGTTCGTATCACTTACCAGCTCTTTTTACATAGTTAAAAATATACCAAGATGGTAAATCGTATGATGAGTTTTATTATACTAGTCACTATAAGAAGAACCAGTTATCTTAACAAAAGTTAGCACATCTTTCTAGTTCACTTGAGATTTTTATTAGCCAACCATGGGCGAGTAGCAATAGATGAAGTCAAGTAATGCCCGCAGTTCTTTCTTTAATCGAAATTCTAAAAAAATATTCAGATTATTTAATTGCAACCACTGCTAGTATGAATGAATTTCATCATAGTAATGAAAGTGCCCGCAGTCCTGAGAATAATAGTATTATGTATTGTGTTGGTGCTTGTGAACCTCATCAGCTTAAGGATGAATATGTTCAATTAGATAATTTATTATTTGAAAAATCATTTTATGAACATGTTGATGTTCAGCAATATCTTCTAAATGATGTTATAGACTGGTATCTATTTATTAAAGAGCTGCAGTTTACATTTCCAATCGGCGTGTATAGCTTAGTATTTTTGTCTGAAATAATGTCAAAAAGTTACAATTTTGGATGTTTTTAGTAACTCGTATTATATCTAATTTGTGCTATTCGGACTTCTTAGATATTATCAGGGTAATTACTTGGGAACGATTAATTATATTTGGAAAATTCCAGAAAATGAAATGTCGAATGATAGGCAAGATGAAACATTAAAAGCATGTATATTAGCTAGAATTTATGAAGAATTGCCTCATTATTTTACACAGCAAATGTGAAAGAATGTACTTGATAAGGTAAGATAACAATAATACAACTGATAGTTAAATATTAATTAATATATTAATATATCATTTTATATTTATAAAAAATTAGTATTCTTATATTCAGAAAGTTACACCAGCAGTATTATGGATGCTTCATTTTGATCTTACTAAAAATGCTGCTGTAACTTCTAATACAATTAGTCGTGATGTTGAAGATAGATTACGATTGATGTTGATATTAGCGGATCCTAATATTATATTCGATTTGCATACAAATAATGGTTCAAGGGGACAAGGTTTAATCTATTTTGGAATGAAACAGAAGCTTATTTTAATGAACAAGTAAGATTTCGTATTTGCATGTTACATCAACTAAGTAAATTAAAATTAGATACATGCAATTATATTACATATGGAAAATGAATTCTTTTTTTAATTTATTTTTCTATATTTGTTCTTGGATAATCTAAAACTGTTGATAAAATAAATATAAATTTGGCTCTATAATTTGTATTCTAGAGACCTTCAATTAACTTATTCAAAGTTTGGACTTATATAAATATTCATAATTATTAAAAGATTAATATTATATGAAAATTTTATAAAAATTCTTAGCTTATAGGCCGCCTAATGTTACATATCTTATAATTGTTATTAACATCATATTTTATTTATTTTAATAGAACTTATTTGCAGTAAATGAGCGATGCCATGGAACTATTCTATATATTCTGCTAGCTTTATCAATTTGTGATCTTCGTGAAACTATAATAGAAAGGTTAAAAGATACACATGGTGATCTATTATCTTCTGATATTAAGATTCCATCAGATGAATGGATTCATCTCCAATTTTGCTTCACGAATACTACTACAACACGGGCAATGTATTATACTGGTTGGTTCAACATAAAATTTAAAGTACAAAGTCGAATGCTTCGAAAAAATAGTGAAGATGCGCATTACTGTGCAGCACTTTTCCGATGTCTTAGAGAATTTTGTATACAATACCATCAGTGGACTTGTTTAATTTTTGCTGATAACAAGCACAAAATTCCTATTGGTGAAGATACTGCAGTTTCTACGGGTATACGAAATCGACGCTCTATAGTTTCTCAAGAAAGCACTTTGGCTGCTACTGATCATGATTTTTCAAAACTATCTCTAACACCATCAGTTATTTTTTTATATCTATTTCTAATGATATTTCAGGATCATTTTATAATGGACAGGTGTTTGTGTCATATAAAAATATGATTTTTGAGCCAAGCTCTGCTATTAGACATTCAGCAGAATTTTTAAATGCATTAAATATTCAATATACATACCAGAAAATGCCACCGATTTTATGTCTTTACACTGATGGAGATCCGGACCACCGTTGTAATTACGGTTCAGTACAAATTGTATTACTTAATCTTTTTTTTTTGTGGAGATTTTGATTTGCTTGTTGTGGTTCATACTGCTCCCAATCATAGCTAGATAAATTCTGCAGAACGAATTATGAGTATTTTAAATTTAGGTCTTCAAGATGTAGCGCTTAAGCGTGACTCAATGAGTCCTGAATCTGAATTATTATTTAGAATGACAAATACTTTAGATGATATATACAATAAAGTACAGAAATTTAGTAAATTAGAATCCGAGTTAAAAGAATATATTTTAGATGTTCAAGAACTATTAAATAGCCGAACTGAATGGCTTCGATTAAAAAATAATAAGTTTAGATAGTTTTTACTTGCAAGCAAAGAAGCTATTGCAGAAATATTTAAAGTAAATATAGCATTTATTATTTTTATTGCTTAATATATATTATAAAATAATATAATTAATTTTTGAATAGTCAATTTATATTATAGACTCTACATTAAAAGTTGAAGAGACCACACAAGCGCAAACACGCCACCATCCAACATTAGTCAAGTTTATGGACACTCATTGCAAAT